AAAGATCCGGTATTTCTGCGAGCCCACGGTGATGTAGGCGTTGCCTTCAAAGGCCCCAGCCATGGTGTCCGACGCCGAGCTGCGCATCAGTATCTGAGCCATCTGCTGGTAGTTTTTGGAGTCGGGGTGGAAAACAAAGACCCGGATCGCTTGCTCTACCGTATCGGCACCTGCCGTGGCTTCTATAGTTCCCACGAATGCCCGTAGTTGTGCTTGCCCCAGGTCAGCGATATTCCATCTCAGGTAGAACCTTTGCTCGGGGTCAACGAGCCTTGCTAATTAGCGTGGGGCCCCCGTCCCAGTTGCCGTTGAGAAGCAGGGGTCTCGGTGGTGTCGCACTCTGATATGTGTGGCCAGGGATCGTTTGCGGTGCGTCGTTCAGGTGCCGCAGTATCGCTGCCGCGATCCGTTCGGGTGCGCGGATGAGGAGGAGGCTGGCGTGGCAGACTCCGACTCTGTACTGCATGGTGCGAGCGGCCTGGTTAACGATTGCGTGGGCGAGGCAGGCGGCGGGCGGTGCCAGTGGGATATGGACGACGTCGTTCGTTTCATGTTGTCTCCAGGTCGTGGCGCCAGAGTTGGCGTGCCAGGAAAGGCAGTAGTCCATGTCTGAGTACAGGGCGTTTCATCATGTGTTGCACGCCGAGTCGTCTCCCCCTGGGGGCGCGGCGCGGCACCGTACTACGTGGTGGAATAGATCCTCCAGGTCAGGCCGTTTGAGGTGCCCGTCCCGTGGTAATGGTACCCGCGTCGTGGCCCACTCAGTCTGCACTGGGGTTCCGGACCAGCTGGTTTAGGTGAGCGTGTATCTGTTCATTCACAGACTGTGGGGCCAGAATGTGTAGGGCGTTTGAGAAGCCACCGATTTGCCGCCCCCAGTGCACGACCGGTCTAGGCTGTAAGACCGATCTCATGGGTTTCCCGGGGATGTTGAATTGCACGGTGAGGAGCTGTACAAAGGGAGCGGTCATGTGGCCCGTAGCGATGGGGTTGCCAGCTGGCACAACGTCTGTCGCACGCGCGGTGGCCCGAGCGCCCCACCGGGCGCTTGCCAGGGCCAGGATTTCGGCAGGGCCTGGTCCCCCAGGCGTGGATACCACGTCGCGGGCCAGAGCGATTAGCGTGCAGCTCCTCTGCGTGGATGCGGTTGCTTCAATGGCAGCGTCCATTTGGGACGCTCGTACGTAATCCTACTACGAGAACTGTGGGGCTGGGCCCGTCACCGTGGTCCAGTACTAGTTTTTTTGATGATGGAGTATGTCTGCGGACCGGGGATTGCGAAGGTGGTAGCAGCGCTGTCGGCGTCGTACTGTCCGATGCATGTTCTTGGGACTATCACGAGGCTCGCTAGCGTCTCTTTAACTGCCATGCGGGCAATGGACAGAGGGAAGGTGGGGGGGGCCGTAGCTTGTTTCGGGTAGTGGTGGATTGCGTGCCAGCAGGCCCGACCATCTTTCTTTGGTGATGTTAGGGATTTGTTTTTTTGGCGCGGCGCAAGCAGCCCGAATTGCAGCCGCTGGTGCTCTAGGATTAAAAAAGGAGCCTGGCCACTTCCTTCGATGCTTCGTCGAGGGCGATGGCTTCGGCACCAAAAACACTGCACGGTGGGTCAAGAAACGCACCGTGGACCATGACAGGCCCAAACACATGACCGGCTGGAGTGCGCACCCACAAGCCGATTATCCACGCGGCGGCGGCGCAATCGCCCTCACGGACGCCACCGTCCATCTGGACAACAAGGCTCGCACGTTTAAGTGCGAAGCTGGGCTGAAACACTTTAGACCAAGAGCTGCGCTGGTCCATGGCGTGGTCGGCCAGGCCGTCGGCGACCTTATTCTATGTTCCATTCCACCACTGGACCGGATCGTCGTGCAACTGAGGCGGGCACCATCCTAGAGAGAGATGCCCCAAAATCCGGTCCAGCACTCGGGTGAGAAGCGCCTCGTAGTGCGCGTCACGCAACTGCGCGTGGCCGCGCACCAGCTGCGAGTCTGTAGTGTACACAAAACGTTGCTCCGACGAGCCCCGCAGTATCTCGGGCGCAATCATGTCCAGCAGCTCGTCCAGGGCAGGACTACTTCCTCGGAGTCTAAATCTGTCCTTCCCTTTCTGGGGCTGCGGCTCGGCGTCTCTTGCCAATCGGTTCCGCCCCATCGTCTTGCTGGCCAGGGCAGCAGGGTGCCAGCCTCCAGCGGCTACAAGCATCAACAACGAATGCCGACAAGCTGCGCTTCCATTCCGCCGGCGCCATCGCGTCGCGCTTTGCGCGCCAATGCAGGCCCAGAAAGGGCGCCAAGGGGTCTTCCCACGCTGCCCTTCTTCCGCAAGATCTTTTGAGAAACCCTTCGGCTCTGCGCCGTTTCCTGGAGAAGTCTTTCACAATTTCCCAACAAGTCCGGAGTCGGCCCCTGATGGACGGGTCGTTGTCAGCGAGCCCTGGGTCTACATCCATCCTGCATGCAGTGCTGCAGGTGGCAGCGGCCGCCCTATCTTTGCGAGT